ATAACTAACTATGAAAGTTTGATCTGGTCTACTACGAACTGTTTGAATCTGGTATAGTGTGGTCTGTTTAAGTCAAGTCTGCTTTGATGTGGTCTGGTTTGGGACCAAAACCCATCCGGACCAAAAGAAAACATCCTAATAGCCCATATGTTAGCTTGATTTTCCGGTTATCTATTTTATAAGTCAACTTTTTAATCAAGCATTCAACTTTAGTTGGTTCCACATACAATGTTTTGCAATTATTAAAATGAGTAACATTGGAGATACCTTTTGACTGAATTGACTCAAATTATTAATATAGAACATATATTTTAGTTATTTTTCATATTATTTTTATTTTATTAATAATATACTATATTAATAATTGTGCTCTTCACTGCGCAGTTATCTTCAAGAATTCATTTGAATGCCTTCCTGATTGAAGTTTTAGCTCAAATTTGGTATGAGTGAACTAGACTTAATGAATAAAATGCTCAAAAACTTTCATCAAAAACTTCCACCGGGAACCGCCCCAAATGGAGACGGTCGGACAGAGCCTCCTATTTAAGGGTTTATTTGACCTTTTTGTATAAGTTCGAGGGCCTATTGACCCCTTTTCCCTAACTGCGCAGTTATTTTCAAGAATTCATTTGAATGCCTTCCCGACTGAAGTTTTAGCTGAAATTTGGTATGAGTAAACTAGACTTAATGAATAAGATGATCAAAAAAATTCATCAAAAAATTCCACCGGGAACCACCCGAAATGACGACAGCCGGACAGAGCCTCCTAAATAAGGGCTTATTTGACCTTTTTGGTTAGTACATGGGCCTATTTGCACCTTTTCCCATGATAAAACTACTTCAATTTACTCCATTAAATATCTATAAAGAACATTTACGAAAGTATACACAACAGGGTTTTAAATAGTCGTAGCAGCAGCGGTAGCGGTAGCAGTCATCGTGGTAGCGGCCTGTAGCCGACAGTAGCGGTTGCAGCGGCGTGAAATATTTTCAATTGTGCAAAGCATATATTTAAAATGATGGTATGGAGTAATTTTAATGTTTTACCATGTTTTAATAAAGTAAATTAAAAAAACAATTTTACGTTATTATTGAAAAAAAAAACTAAACAATATAAATATTATAATTTAAATTTAGTTAAATGAACCATAAACCAATAAAAGTAAGATAGTGTCCTTATTAAACAGTATATTAAAAAAAATGAATACAACAGTTTACGTTAATCCACTTCCAAATTAATAATAATACATATTTGCGTTCCATTTCCAATTTCATTTGCATAATCCATAATAATATCACTTTCGTTCCAAATTGTTTTGTTAAGTCAACATTTTTTTCGTCAACCGATATTAAAGTTAAATCATCCTTATTAATAATTAATTCGGCTATAATGATTATAATTTACATATTTATTAATATTTGCTACCATAATGTGTGTGGATAGATGTACATTTCATTTAGAGTTTCACTCCATAATTTACATACTTGTTCACATCATTTACACAACATTTACACATTTACACATCAATCAGTTCGTGACGTACTGCCAGAAATGCCAATAGCTGGCTGTAGCGGGCGGCGTAGCGGGCGGCGTAGCGGATTTTTCCCGTGAATTGGAAATCACACATCAAAAGCAGACCGTAGCGGTGGCGGCCCCTACCGTGACCGCTATATACTGGGCCGCTATTTCAAACCCTAATACACAGTATAGAACCTGAAAAAACAAGAAACGAAATGAAGGAAGAAAAAGAGCATAACAGAAGGAAAACAAAGAAAAGGGTGGAAGGAACAACGGCAGATTGGAGAAAATCAGAAAAACATCAGTTTGCCGCCTCGCTGGAAAATATTACACCGACATCGCTAATCGGCGGCAGCCGCACATGGGACTAGCCGGCGGAACCTGGACTCTGCTACGTCACCAAAAAACTTATTAAGAGTGAAGACCAAGAAATTATAAAGAAGAAACCAGGAATTGAAAAGGAAGAATTCTCTTACAGCAAAACGAGGGTAATAATATGGAGGACCAGAATGGAGAACAAAGTAAATCAGAAAAAGAAAAGCAAATAGAAAATCAAAAGCACTAACCGGCTGGTAAAGGGTGTCTTTCGGTAATTTGATGAGGTTGACTGATTTTTTTGAAGTAGAGGTATTTATGTGATACTTTTTGGGTAGAGGGACCTATATGATGGATTAAAAATACAACCATTCTTGGTGTACACGTTTTTGTACCCATCAGTACACGCATGTGTCTGTGAGAGTTTTTTTTTGTCTGTGAAGCGCGGTCCACAGACATAAGTTCGCTTGTTTTGTCTGTGGAAAATTTCACAGACAAAACAAACCAGCTTTTGTCTGTGGACCGCACTTCACAGACAAAAAAAACTCTCACAGACACATGCGTGTACTGATGGGTACAAAAACGTGTACAAAAGGAATTTTTGTTAAAAATAATAGATGTCCTTATTTGACCTTTGGATAGTCAATTTTGTTCTCATCTTCCTTTGGGTGTGAGTTTTGGTTGAGTTTTGGTACTCCTAAGCACTTATGAGCCCGTTTGGTAGCACGAAAATCGGCTGTTTTGGCTGATTCTGCTGAAATTTATGAAGTTCTGGCTGAAGTGGCTGCTTTGGCTGTTTCTGCTGATCTAAGTAAAAATTATTTTTAAAATATATTCTATTAATAAAATAAAATAAAAATTATATGTAAAAATAGCTAAAATGGTCATCTACAGTAACTTCAGCCAATACAGCAAGAAAAGTAACTCTAACCTTACTTTTTCTGCTTATTACACAATTCAGCGCGCGAAAGTAAAAGTTACGTGTTTGGTGAAAAAGTTGGCTGATAAGTCTGATAAGTCGAAAAAAGAGGTTACCAAACGACCTCTATATCCATTTGTCCCTTTTGAGTAATTGAATATTTCTTTTTGAGAGTTGAATAGTTGAATATGGAGAGAGAGAGATGATTATATAATCAGATTAGGAGAATCTATATTAGGGATGGAGATTGGAGGATGAACTCCCTTTCTTCGTTTACATTTTAAAAATTGACAGAATTAAAGTTCCATTATTAATAATATTTATTTACCCACTTGATGAATGTCTTAATGTCTTCAAGAAGCATCTGGAGGACATGGTTCAATAAGACGATTAACCCCAAGATTATGTCTCATTGAGGTACAATAAGAACATTCAAAGGGGAATTGCCAAGTTGTACTCTCAGTAGTTTTTTAATTTTTGGGATTGCCACTTGATTTGTTGTTATGGGATTTGCTATTGGTATTATTATGGTTCTACAATGGAGTTCAATGATTTGATTTAAGATTCATCTGTGCTGCATACATGAATCTATGCTATGAATTCCTTGAATAAAAGCTTAAATTCAGACCAAAAAAAAAAAAAAAAAAAAGATGAATGTCTTAATGTGTTATAAAAGGGTGGATTTCACGTCTATTTGATCCACTTAAAAGCCTAAAGTCCGTTTGGTAATCCGGTTTTTTGGTTTATTTATCAAGATTATCAGTCAACTTTTTCAAAAACATCTACTACGTAACTTTTAATTTCGCGCGCTGAGTTGTATTAGTAGAAAAGGTAAAGTTAGAGCTATTTTCTGGTTGTACTGATTGAAGTTAATGTAGAGGATCATTTTCGCTATTTTTCATACAATAGTATAATTTTTTCTTTATTTTATGAAATCAATAGAATCAACCAATCCAATCACTCCACCCAAAACTACATAAATTTGAGATGAATCAACCAATACAGTTGATCTGGCGATATTACGGAACGAACTTTTAGTGTCTAATTTGAATTTCCTAAATAACCTCGGTGTGCATTTGGCCTTTCTCCCCCGGCCGGGTATTAAAGGTATGGAAATGTGACATGCTTTGCGTACCAATTTAGCCCACTAAATCTTAAGCACGACCGATCTGTCTCTTTCATTGTGACGAACATCGCACGGCTTCGATTTTAAGCACACATAAAGTTGGAACCTTTTGGACCTCTCTTCAAGGAAATGGTATAATAATGTACATCCATTATTCTTTCTTTTGGTTTTCACCTTGCCTTTAGTATATTGTATAGTATAATATGGTGCTTTTTCTTTCCTCTCAATTACTCTGGAACCTCTCCCACATTTCACCATAAAAATGAGACATACTACTCGTATAACATAGAGTCGCCTTAGTATGGCCACTTAGAAATAGTTGGCTGGTCATAATATATTCACCCTTTCATAAATGAGTAAATTTTGAATATGCTCCAAAACAAGCATATGGTATATTCCGTAAATTTACTCGCAAAACTGCAAAAGTTGCATATGTCAAATTGCGATCCCACGTTACGTTATTTAGCATAATCTTCACGGCCATCCATATATGTAATTATGTACACTGTTCTTGGTCACAGTGAGTTAATTGAATTTGTTGAATGTATGCGTACTCAAATTTTGAAATTGTAATTGTTGATTTTGTCACATAAATCAAATGAGAAAATTTAGGACGTACATACTGTAAAGGAAGATTAAGTGACAACATATGTTTATATGTAATAATCTGATCAAATAAATTTTGACCGAAAATTAACTTCAACCTTATTTATTGTCTTTATTACATTGTTGAGAGCATGAAACTAAAAATTTAATAATCGGTTTGTTTTGGGGGAGGTAGGTCAAACCTCTTCTCCCTTGTTGGGGCTGATAAAATAAGAATTTGTGATTCTTTTGTGTTTTTTCAGTTTATGAACTCTAGTTTTTTAGCTCTTTGTTTTAGTAGCAAGTACAATGACTCCGTTTGAATAGTAGTCTATCATTGTCCGTATTTTTCCGCGACTAGTTCGTTTTATGTCTCACTCCAGGGTTGCTATCAGTAATTGCTTTGTTTTGTCTATGTTTACTTTCATTATTACTAATAAATGAGTGTTTTTTTGTTTTTTTCAAAAAAGAAAATTAATATTCGATAACACATACTATCGTACTTCGTATAACTAACAATTGCAAGGTTAAGAAGACAAGAATGTGACTTGTCAAATACGGAGTAACATTATGGCCTTTTTATACGGATATTACTAATTAGAGACAGTTTGACCAAAAAGTAAGCTAAAACACAAATTTCCAATAATATAACCTTCTAATACACCTGGCCGTATAATTAAGAATTGAAACGCAGTGACTGGCAGTCACTTTGACTGCCCAGTGACCGCCGCCACAGTGACTCCGCCGCCACAGTGACTCCGCCGCCACAATGACTCTGATCACAGTGACTTCGATCACAGTGATTCCGATCACAGTGACTCCGCCCATCATGACTGCCCTACTATTGGCCACAGTGACACCTTACCTTTACAGTGACATCCCCGTAGTGACAACTCACAGTGACAACAACAATTGCTCCGGCCACAATTATTTCCGGCCACCACCAATCACCACCGCCATCCCACCGCAAATGTCTGACCTAATACTGCCTACTTCCACTGCTCCTCCCCATCCCAACACCCCAACAGCAGAAAAATCCCAGCCGCAACCCCTGCCCCCTCTACCCTCCCCCCAACCACATCCCAAGCCTGAACTCCAACTAGCCGGCCTCGTTCAACCCTCCCAGTCCCCACGTCGACCTTCCAAGACCCATCCCTGACCTTCCATCCCCCTGCCGCCATGACCCAATAACGCCGTCACCCAACGATGCGCCCCCACTACCCCAGACTTAACCCCAACAGCCTACCTCACCATTTCCGCCTCCCAAAAACGAGATCTATTGATCTCAAATCAGCGAAGAAGAATGGAGAAGGGAATGCGACGGAGTTGGCAGAGGTGGGGGCTGCGTCTGAGAGCGGCGATGGTTGGTGGAGGCGGCAGAGCAGCAACGATGCAGCGTGCGCAGAGAAGGACCTTCGTCGAATCTGGGAGAGGAAGACGGTGATATGGGAGAAGAAGAGAAGTTTCGTCCGATCTTCCGCACAGCAGCTATGGTGGAGCTCAGAGATGTCCGATATTGGAGAAGACTTCGTCCCATTTCCGCAGAGCAAGGATGGAACGCAGAGATCCGATTTGGGGGAAGACTTCGTCGAGCGCAGAGGAGCAAGGGTCGCACGTTTTGGGGCGAGCTGGAACACTTTTTTGGAAAAAAATCAAAATGTTTATATTTTTAGAAATGAAAAGTTGGACAGTCATACGCCGGCAATTATTTCTAACATTATTTTCATCTTCGTCTTAAACTTCAATTTAAAAGAAAGAACGATCAACTACATATATCTTAATCGTAATACTCCATATATGAAATACATGTGTGAGTGATCTAATTTTATCACACTTCGTATTTAAATTCTCTAAAAAAAGGATGACACCCCATCCCTGAGGCCCCCAACACCGATCGGACGGCACGATGGGAGGATGTAAATTAGACTATAATCACAATCTGACAGATAGAGAGTGGGACTCTGTCCCCGGTACTTGCAGAGGCCCTATGTATTTTTCAGCATAGTAACCCCCCATCGCAGTTGCCGGGATTCGAACCCGAGACTTAACCCTTGTGGCACTCCCTCGTTACCAGTTGAGCTATGCCCACCGGTTCGTATTTAAATTCTCTCCAATCTCTAGCTAGTGGGAGTAAGGAAGTTTTGACTTCAAAGTCTTTGAGAGTTTTTTTTTCTCAAAGATTACCTTTAATTTAGCTCATAAATTAGCTGGCCGGCACGAAAATTAATTTGGCCAAGAAACAAAAGAATTATTCCGTATAATTTAATATCATTTCTTTCTGTTTTAAGCAATTCGGAGCATTTTGTCATATACGGAGTATATATAAATATATATATAGAGAGAGTTATTCCTGTCCGAAAATTCCGGACAGGAGCCCCGTCCGGCCTCCTCCATTTGGGGGCCTTTCCGGTGGTATTTTTTGCTCATATTTTTTGTGTATGTTCCTAATCAAGTCTAGTTCATCCATACCAAATTTGAGAAACAAATTCAATCGGGAAGGTCGTCAAATGATTTTTGCAAGTTAACTGGTCCGGAAAATACATATTCCGGACCAGTTAACTTGCAAACATCATTTGACGACCTTCCCGATTGAATTTTTTGCTGAAATTTGGTATGGATGAACTAGACTTGATGAGGAACATATACAAACAACTTGAGCAAAAAATACCACCGGGAAGGCCCCCAAATGGAGGAGGCCGGACGGGGCTCCTGTCCGGAAGAATATTGGTGTATATGTGTGTGTGTGTGTTGTGTGTGTGTGTCTGAGCCCACACAAAAAACAAAAGAGAAAAACATTTTCGGACCGGTAATATAGATTCGTGTATGGACCATTACCATACATGGGGGCATGCCGGGGAGTGTTTGCAACTGCTTAAAAAAACACTTCTCAGCTTTTGGCTTAAAAAAACACTTATTTACCAAACGTTACCAATTTTTACTTTTTCTCGACTTGCGTGTGAAAAGTGTTTTTTCCTTTTCTATTACACAAAAAAACACTTATTTTACCAAACACTACCAACTTTTACTTTTCAAAATCACTTTTTTCTCAAATACTATCAATTTTTACTACTAATCACTCTCTCCTTACATCTCCAAAAGTGCTTTTTTAAGCAGAAGCAATTACAAACACTTCCTAAGACTCCTTATAATATCCAAGCTCATCGCGCTAGCAGGAGTAATGGCCATAAATTCATGTCTGGTCAAGTAGGGGTGGTAGATCCGTCCCGTTCCGAATTGGTCCGTTTTGAGAGGTATGACTCCTTTTTATTGCTCCATATTTTTTTTTTTGAATTAGAAATTTTATTATGTGGTATTATTAAATAAATTCATAACAATTTTATTTTTAAATGGTTTACATTTGTAATGAATTTGCCTACATATACTCTTAACAAGCAATGAGTCCATGGTCGAGATATCAAGCCCCGTTCTTTATTTTTTTGAGGAATTGTCCAGGATTAAAAATGGCTAAAAATCATACTGTAAATATGAGTAGGAATTTAAGTCTATGATTCCCTAAATAAGACTCTTAATTACTGTTTTGAATGATGATATAACTATTACGTAGTACTACCTCCGTCCCATTTATATTGGGACGGAAGATGGTGGCACGATTATTAAGAAAAGTGGGTTTTTGTGGTTAATATTAATTGATAAAGCAAGAATAAAGTAAGAATGATTTAGAGTCACACAAACTTTGCCAAATATGGTATGAGACAATTTAAGTGGGACTTCCCGAAAAGGTAAAACAGGACAATATAAATGGGACAGAGGGAATATTATTAAATACTCCTTCCGTCCCGTTGGGATGTTCCCGGTTTGACCTACACACATATTAAGGAAATAAACTTACCAGAGGTAAATTTTACTGTTTTGACATTGTTTGGACACTGTTTGACACTGTTTTAATTTAGGATAACTTTCCATTTAGGGAAATGAGAACTTCTTTTTGGGACATCTAAAAAAGGAAAGTGGGAACATCATATCCCAACGGGACGGAGGTAGTAATAGAGATATTCTAAAAAATGTTTCTGAAATCAAACTTAATTACAAAAATATAACTAATAGTGTTTGTAGTATAGTCTTATAGTCACTTAAATGCAAATTTAACGAATTCAATAAAAAATAACATAAACTTTAACTATTTACTGTAAAAATATAGAAAACAGCAATTTCCAAGCAAGCACTTGGTCTTAAACTCAATCTGTTTATTCTTTGTTCCGTTGAAAATGTTTTTCAATCTGTTTTTTCTTTGTTCCGTTGAAATGTTTTGTTGTCACTTGTAATTGTTGTAAATTTGGATTTGGATTAATTTATACGAAGTGATTTGCTATGGCACACTTTTTCTGTCTTCACTATATCCGTGATATAGGGTGTATTTGGCATTAAGCGGTTAGCGAATAGTGAGTTTTGTTAGCGGGTTGTCAATATATAGCAAATTCAATCAGCGGGTTTGACTTGCGGAATAAATTGGCGGGTTGTGATAAAATGTTTGATAATTTAGTTGTTTAGCCATAATATTAGTAAGAAACGCCATTTTTCAAAATGCCAACCAAAAAATCTCCTATTGACAACGTTTTCATTTTAGCGTTTCCGTCCAAAAATGCTAGTTCCGAACAGCTATTTAGCAAACAGCTTTATCACTTATTTAAAATGTTAAAAGTGGTTAAACCGTCATTTTTCGGTTGGAACGTCGCTAACTAAACACCTCCATAGTCTATTCTCTGGACTTTTAATTTTTACCACATTATTTATACTATCCAACTCTTAAATATGATGCTTCAGGAGTTCCTTTTTTTAGGAACTAATGTATTTGTCTCTTGCTTTAATCTTTCTCTTTAATGTTGCTATTGATGTATTTAAGAAAGGTATGCTTTTCTTGAGAGGTCCTTCTGTCATTTTGTATTTAACATTTAATTAATAAAATTCGGTAATATTTCTCGGCATTTACCCTACCGATTGGTGGCTTACTCACCGAGGATTAAAAAAAACTCTGTATGAAACTAGGCAGAAATAATTAAAAAAAATGGATGAATTGAAGTACTTCTTGTAATGTATAAACACGATAGATAGTTTTAAAAATGCAAACATTTATCAAAAAGGACGTTGTAGTGTTATCATTCAAATTGTTTTCATCGTGTCTATTATTTATTATTCATTTAATTGGTTTAAATCATTATCTCAACGTTTATTTATATTTAAATTATCACATTATAATAGTTTTATTGATCCATGTGTATAGAATATTGTACATTGAGGATGTCATAAAATTTACCTTCTTTTATTCTTTTTAATAGAATTAAATTAATCTTTAGTTAAAGAAGAATACGTATTTAATCCTATTTCGGAATGTTTTCTTTTTTATTGTTTTTAGTATCAGACCAGATGTAAATAGATCAGATCAATCCAAATTAGACTTGACAGTTATAAAATACATATAAATTAGATATTTATCAGACCAGACTAGTTCAAATTAGATCAGACCAGATCAGATGAGACCAAATCTAACAATTTTCAATACAAAAGAAAACATTTTATAACTTTAAGAGCCCGTTTGGAGAACTCTGTTTTCGGCTTATCAGGCTTATCAGCCAGCTTTTTCACCAAACACGTAACTTTTACATTCGCGCGCTGAATTGTGTAATAAGCCGAAAAAGTAAGGTTGGAGTTACTTTTCTGGTTGTATTGGCTGAAGTCACTGTAGAGGACCATTTTAGCTATTTTTACATATACTTTTTTCTTTAATTTATTAATAAAATATATTTTTAAAATATTTTTTTCTTAAATCAGCAGAATCAGCCAAAACAGCCACTCCAGCCAGAATATCATAAATTTCAGCAGAATCAGCCAAAACAGCCGATTTTGGTGCTACCAAACGGGCTCTAAGTGTATTTTCGTCTTAATTTGAGCCGTTTTAAAATCAATCTTCTTACCTGGACCTTCTATCGATGTGTACTGTAGGACCGTCCGATTACAAGCTCTATGATGTTCCGCGTGGAACCCCAATGTCCTGCTTTACTTCCTCCTTTTTTTCAATTTCTGTTGAAACGTGTCCGGGAAATCGCTGCTCTATTTATATCCCCGTACGTTTCTTCTCCTATCCTTTTTATTTAAATACTCCGTAATAATCAGCACAATAAAATATCTCTGGCAGGAATTCAGCTGCAAATTTCAAGGAATAACTTCGGGATGTTAACTTTATGTCCTTCAGGTTGAAGTTTGTGTCTTAATTTTCTTATTTATTGAGATAATTTATATTCTCTAGGATGTGTTTTTGATATATATTATAATATGCATAGCTCAGCAAATCACTTTGAACTCTCAAAGATTCAATTTTTATTTCTATTCTCTCTCTAGAAACTTCTGTATTCGTGTATGTCCTGAAATTCATTGAATATAATAATTTGGTATTGAAGGTTGAAGCTTATCTCTTTCTATCTGTCGTTATCTGTGTAACTCTGCTTTCCATCACTGCGGTTTTGCAATTGATAGCTGAAATTAAATGGGATCGTGGGTATAAAGGTCTCCTGGCCTTTGTGGTTTAAGAGGAAGGAAGAAAAAGAAGAAGAGTTTCAGAAATGGGAGTTGAGGACTTGTTTTTTAACAAGTTGATGGTTAGCAGCAATAGCTGTTATGGAGGAAGAGGAGGGGGAGAAATGATCAAGGAGTGGAAGGACATACCGGCGGAGTTGCTGTTGAGGATTGTATCTCTGCTGGATGATCGTACGGTTATTGTGGCTTCTGGTGTTTGCACTGGCTGGAAAGATGCCATTTCTTGGGGTCTTACCCAGCTTTCCCTTTCTTGGTATGATTTTTTCATTGAATTTTCTCTTTTCTATCAAGTTTCTGCCTTTTTTGTATTTTTTAAAAGTGGGTATATAAATTCCTTTTATTTTACTTTCTTTGCAAATGAAACTAGGAATTCTTGTTATGAATCAATATATTCCAAAAGAGCAGATGGAATAAATTGACTGTACTATGACTCTGTCATAATTAAGAATCAAAATTCCCCACCCTTGTAAAAGGTTCTCTTGTGAGTAGGGTTCATCCATCACCCTTCATTCCTACAGTGGGCAGGTCCCGCTATGAAAATGAATGATACTGAATGGTGATGATGGACAGGGGTGGAGACAGGGAGGGGCTGGAGGGGGCTGAAGTATATATTATCTATAAATACTTTTAATCTATAGAAAATATGTGGATATTTTAAACTTTGGCCCCTGCAATGTAAA